TTGGACAGTTCAACTTTTCAGTCTGAGATAATTTAGAAGCCATAATAAAGTCTCACTATTAATTAACAATAACAAAAATTGAGGTTATGTTGTCTTCAAAAACTTATTATGCAAAATTATCACTTAAAAGGTAAAAACCAAACTGAGTTAATTATAATCAGGTATACAAAAGTATTCCAACAATTCACTAAGCTAATACACCACTCATAAAATAATTGCAAATCGTTTAAAAAGAACTTAAAGATCCGGTATTAAAATCTGCGTGTTACCATCATATGGCTCAGGGGCGTAAGTCGCCCCTGAAAATAAATAAATTAATATGTAATAAATTAATATGTAATAAATACATCACATCCCGCCGATGGCTGTCCACTACCGAACATCGTCGATGTCATCGATGTACTGGGTTTAGTGGATGCTTATCCACTTCCAGACATGGCTCACATCATGGATATGTTCGGTAGACCTTGCCGTGGTGGCGGGGCTTTTCACTAAAGAACAAACAAACAGAAAGACCAATATTAGCGATTGTAAAAACGAGAAGTACCTGCGGGGTAATGCTTCGAATAAATCCCTCACTGGTTCCGACCATCAAGCGCCTAGCGTGGGGGCGGTGGCCAGTTGCCCAAGGTGTAACGAAGCATTTCGTTACTTACTTTTCCTTCTTTCTTATTTCGGGGTTAGGGTTTGTTGGTTTAAATACTCGCGGTTGTTTTGGCTATGAAACGAGAGGGCCCGAGGCCCTTCGTTTCCTTCCGAGCATCGTCGCCGATGAGCCAATCAGGTTGGCGGTTTAGCTGTTCTTTCCGTGAGATCGAGAAGAGAGGACGACGAGAGGAAGCCGGCCGGCATCGCCACTGTGTGTTTCCGTGTGAACGAATTAACATTGTTTCTCAAAGGCAAAAGGCCAAAGTTATTAAAATATAAGCGTGTTTAAATAAATAAGTAGTTTGCAATTTGACTTTTAATTAATTAAGTGTTTTCCCAATTTGTGCTGTCCGAATTCAACTTCAACTCGGCGTTAATCATCATTGGTAAGTCATTGTTACTTTTCTCAGGATTGTCGTCTTTGTCTCGCCGTCGTCGCATCCGTCGGTTTTGGTTTCAGGGCGGAATCTCCCCCGAGGTTTGAATAATCGTTTGTGTATATATGTGCAGAGGATGCAATTTAATTTGATTTATTAAATAATATCTGTCACAAATTTGGCGCCCAACGTGGGGCAAAGCGTTGGACTGAGAGACAAGGCGACATGGTTAATATTTGTATTTTATGGCTTTATAAATAATATTTTTGGAGGCTGAGAGGTTTGTGTTTGGACACAGAATTTTTTGGGTTTGAGTGATGGCCGAATTGGCCATATTTGGGATTATTTTAAGTGATAAAGTTGGTTTTGAAAAATTGTCTGAAAAACATGTGCTCGTGAAATATGGGCAGACATTTTGAATAGGCGCGAAAAGCAAAGTTGAAAAATGTCGAAGTGGGACAATTGTTTTTCTGTGAGGCTAATTTTTCGGGAATTTCAGTGAAATAAATTGAAAATTTTTGGCAGTGAATTATTAATGGTAAATTATTTGGGCAAGTGACGCGAATTTAATTGATAAATTTTTGGGAAAAATCTAACGGATTATTTTTTGTCCGTAAAAGTATTGACATAGTGTTGTGTTGGTTTGGTATTGTGAGGTCAATACTTTGGCTGTTGGTTCAAAAAGTTGAACCTTTGTGGATTTTTCTCGAAATTGTTCGCGAGTAATTATTTTAATTTTACGGCAATTTGATAAATTGACTTTTATTTTTATTGGGAAAAATATTTTTGGCGGAAATAAAATTCGGGAAACTTGGGAAATTTGACAAATTTTCGAGGAAGCAGTGGTTGAGTGCAAGCGCACCGAGCACATGGCAAGAGACGCCGATTGAGTATTGGTGGTCAATACTATTGCGTCGGAAAGAAAGGTTGATTTTTCGAAATTGTTTCCCGGCCATTTTAATTAATGAACATTAATTAAAATTCAACAAGTATTTTTGTCAAATATTTTTTTTAGGTTTTTGTCACGTTTATGGTGTTAATTTGTAAAATATTTTTTGTTTTTTTTTTGGGTATTATTTGGGTTAAAATAATTTTTACAAAATTCTGGAAATTTAATCCAGTGACGCGGTTGCCAATAAATGTTGAAAAATTTTACAGGACGGCGATTTTGGGCCGTAGGAAAATTTTGAGCGTTACTGGCGGCCATATTGTGGTTTTAATTTTGAACAAAAGTTTTAATTATTGAAAATTTTTATTATTTTAATCCGAATTTCGAGTGAAATTTTTTGTAACTATTATTTGTATTTGGATTTTAATTTATGCTATTTGTGGGGAAAATAATGTTTTTTATTTTATTATTTTTCTCAAAAATAAAATTTTCAGGCTTTTGAAAATTTTTCAAAGTTTTTGTTTTTTTTGTTATAGCATAAAATTTTGGGTTTGTGTTTGAGTGCAAAAATTTCCAAAAGTGTTGGTTAATTGTCACTAGACATTTTTGATTGTTTATCAATTATTTATTTGTCGGGAAAATTGATATTCAATTTATTTTATGACAAATGTTTGGTTAATTGATAAAGAAATAATTTTTTTTGTTGGATTTAGCGAATAAATAATTTGGGTTTGGCACGGCGATTGGTCGTAAAGGTCAAAACAAATTGGGTAAATCCATGAGGATTTAGATTTTTTTTTAATGACATTTTACAAATTTGTTTTTGGATTTGGAAGTTTTATTTTGAGTATTATTTTGTTTTAGTGTTGTCGAAAATTTTTAAATTGGTTGACAAATAATTTTATTAATTGTTTGGATTTGTTGTGGACTTATTTAATAAATTTTCGCATTTTGGATAAATCGACACGATTATGGATTCGTATCAAAAGCATATGCTCAAAATTTTGGAAAGTCGGCAAGCTAGGGTCATTTGGAGGGAAATTCAAAGAACCCCCGTTAATGATGTGGTTCAAGAATTGGTTAAGGCTAATTGTAGTACAAAGGGGTCAATCCAGATATTACGGGAACGCTTATTACGATTCAGGACCAAGGAAATTTTAGCGGGAATAATTTCGGTTCCATGGTTGGAAATGTATGATGCGGTGGATTCTCAAAGAGTTTTCTTGAGCGAGGCACTAGCACCTCGTAGGGCAAGAAGGGTCGATTACTCGGGTTATGAAACAGAACAGGAAGCGGCCATTGATTTAAGTTCATATGAGGGCAACCTGTTAGGGGAACTAGATTCTCAGGTTTTGTCGAGTAATGACGATTACTTTTTGGGTTTTGAAAGAGAACAACAAGTAGAAAGTGCCGAAGTAGCTTCGGCCAGCAGTAGCACTGTTACGACTTGTGTGACGTCAGTGGCCAACTCAGTGGTGACCACAACATCGAATTCGAGCGGGAGGGCCGCAACGAATGTGGTTTGGAGTTCGGCAGTAGGTGGCGTCACCTCTCCAATGATTACACCGAGTAGTTGGAGAGTTAGTCAGGTAGATGCTAGGATGCATTTCCATCCGGATTTGGGCGCTATTTTTGCCCAAAATAGGAACGTAGAGGTTAATTGGTTACATCCCCCAGTTAATGCAGTGGCCCAGACACTTGAATCGGTCTCTGATAGGGTAGTGTCTCCCCAAAATTCGGGAAATTCGGGACCTAGTGGAGGTTCTGGGGTGATCTCGGATCAACAAAATGTGGGTCTCGAGGCTATTCCCCAACAGCAAACTGCGGGTCCTGGGGTTATTTCCCAACAACAAATTGGGGGCAATGGGGCTATACCTAAACGATCACAAACAAATCGGTCCGATAGTGGGACACAGTGGGAGCCACAGGCCCCGAGAGTAGAATCAGCGGGTTATTACTCACAGAGGAGTAGGGCTTACCAGGCTGAATCGAATTTTGACTTAAGCGATGAGGTTGTTAATAGTTTTCCGGGTAGGCACCATAAGAGAATATCTTCCTTTAATAAAGATATTAAAAGGGTGCTTACTCCTCCTGAAGCAGAGGAGTGGGGGAGACGAGCAGAAGGTCTTCCAACTCCAGTAGGGATGGATACGGAAAGCGATAGCTGGGATGAGGTTAGGAAGAAAAGAAGTAGGAAACAGTCCCAAGGGCGTAAAAATAGTTCTTCACGAAAAACTAGGCTCTCAACGTGGCAGTTGTCCAGTGACTCTGAGTCAGAGGCGAGTTTGGACTCTAGGAAAACGGTAATTAGGTCAAAAAAGGGCCATCACCACCACCATGGGTCTAGTTTGAATTTGATGAAGGCGCTTAAGGACTGGGAAATTAAATTTTCGGCGGGCGAAAAGGAGGACCCAGAGGAATTTTTAGAGCGGCTAGGGGATTGCATTTCATGCTATGATCTCTCTGGTCAAGAAATTCTTAAGGCGGTTCCTTCGGCGTTGCGTGGGGCAGCCAGCCGTTGGTTTAGGTTGACTAGGAACGAGACAGTTTCGTGGAAACAATTTAAAAAGGCGTTCTTGAGAGAATTCTCCAGTGTTCTCGATGATGAGGACCTTTGGGACGAGCTTAAAGCTCGAACTCAGGCTAAAGGAGAAAGAATCTCAACCTATATTATGAGTCTGCGCACAATAGCCGATCATTTTAGGCATCCTATTTCTTCTAGGAAATTTTTGCGTGTGGTTTTTCGAGGGTTAACACCTGATTATCGTAGGTATGTGTCGAATTTCGAGGTTGAAAATATTGGGGAATTAGAGCATATTCTGAGGAAATACGAGCGAATTAGGGACATTGACAAGAGGTATGTTCCACCCCCGGCTAAGGAAAAGATGAGGGTTCTGTCGGCAGCACCAAAGGGGGTTCCGAAAGGGACAAAATTGGATGCATTGGTCGAGGGCTCTTCATCTGAGAGCAGTAAGAGGGGCTAGGTAAAAGTAAAAAAGGCTAGGGGGCAAAAGAAGTCCAAGAATAAAAATCAAGCGAAACAAGAAACAACGGAAAATAAGGAAAATGCAGTGGATGCATTTGGGATGAGTCAGGGTCGGCCTAGGGGAGCTGCAGGGGGTCAACCAAATAAGGGGTGGCCCAAGCCAATGCAGGTAGCACCGGGGCCGGCACAACCTATAATTTATTCGCAAAGTGGGGGTGCAAGGGCCCCACCTAATGCACCGAGCGGCCAAGTGGCTGGTGCATTACCCCAACAAGGTAGGCCTAAACCGGGTGTAGCAAACCAGGGTAATGGTCAGGTTCCTTTTATGGGTATTTGCAATGGTTGTCAGGTTGTAGGACACCGTTTATCCCAGTGTCCTTATCGGGTTTGTTTTAGCTGCCAACAACAGGGTCATTTTGCTACAGAATGCCCTAGCAGACAGCAAGCTCAGGTTGAGGTTTCGTGTCAGGTTTGTGGGGCTAAGGGAGCAGTTTTTGCTCAGTGTCCAAGGTGCGTGGAGTTTCGAAGATATTTGGAAAACGCGAAAGGGGGGGGACAATCCAACTTCTTCCCCCCCAATCCAAACAGTAGGGACAGGGTTAGAGGTTCCTGTGTGTAGTAATGAGATATTTTTGCGTGTACAAGAGATGGATTATTCGTTGCCGAGTGAGGAGAACTCACTCTCTAATCCATCTCAAGTGTGTATTGTTGGTAAGGAGGACTCACCTGCAATTGTTGAAAATTTGTGTTTGTCGAGTGAGGAGAACTCACTCTCAAATGTTGAGAATTTGTGTGTGTCGAGTGAGGAGAACTCACTCTCAAATATTGGGAATTTGTGTGTTGCGAGTGAGGAGAACTCACTCTCAAAAGTTGGAAATTGTGTCAGCGTGAATTTGGGCACATTCGGTAGGGCTAGGCTTGAACCATGCTCAGGTCGTCGCGGGACTTGGGACGTTTCGGGTGGAACAAATGGCTCGCCAATAGTGGTTACCGAAAACGAGAGTAGTGACTTTGGTCAAATGAATGAGGAGTACTCATTCTCTGTGGGCTTAGATAAAGTTGTGATTTCTGCGGAAAATCTTAGTGAGGCCCCTGGTATTAGTGGGACTAATAGTGTTGAAAAGGGTTCAACACGTAAAGTCCAGGAGAGGGGAGAAACTGCATCGGATGCAGTATTTTCTCCGGATTCAAACGAGATTGTTGATGGGACTAGGCCTGAAAATAGGTACTTTTTAAAGGTAATCATTGCGGATCGTCCATATTATGCATTGTTCGATCCAGGGGCAATGGTTTCGGTTATTGGTCCCAAATTGGCTGAAAAGTTTAGAGAAAGGTTGGAACAAGCGGATACGGCAATCCAAAGTGCCATTGGGGGATCCACTCAAACTTTAGGGAAATTAAGGTTATGGTTGACAGTCGATGGATATGCGCAGTCTTTCGAGCTGAAAGCCCTTAGTACCTTAACCCAGGACTTAATTTTGGGAATGGATTTCTGTAGGGAAATGGATATGGATGTCCAGCTTGGGAAAGGTCTCTGGAGAATTAATGGCCAAGAATGGCATAAGTTTGCGTCCGATAATGGAGAAATAAACACTGAGGGTATTTTCGCGGAATGTGCAGGTATTTCGGAGCTTACGGTTGATCAGAGAAATGAGGTTCAAAGTTTGGTTAATGAATTGGTCCTTCCTCAAGGTCAGGAACATGGGGTGACGTCGTTGACGGAGCACCACATTAGGTTGATTGATCACTCGCCGATTAAGCATCGGCCGAGGAGAATGTCTCCGATGATCATGCAGTGGTTGATCAAGGAGGTTCAGAAATTATGGGATCAAGGAATTATCGAACCAGCGTCCAGTGATTGGAGCACTGCGCCCGTTATAGTCAAAAAGAGTGATGGGACACTCAGGTTATGTTTTGACTATAGGGACCTCAATAAGGTGACAATTAGGGACGTTTACCCGATACCGAGTATCGATTTTATTTTGGATAAACTGAGGAAGGCTCGTTATATCTCCAAAATCGATCTCAAAATGGCGTACCATCAGGTACCGATGTCGGCGGAAAGTAAAAAGTACACGGCTTTTTCGGTTCCAGGTTTGGGTCTCTTTCAGTTTAAGAGAATGCCTTTTGGGTTAACAAACGCCCCCGGCACGTTTCAAAGGTTTGTGGACTCGTTGTTTGGTCCAGAATTTGAACCTGTCGTTTTTGGGTATCTCGATGATATCATAATTGTCACCGATGATTACGACGAGCATATCAGATGGTTGAGGATAGTTTTAAAGAGATTGGCGTCTGCTGGTTTAGTGGTAAACCCAGACAAATGTGAATTTGGTTGCTCTCGGGTAACCTATTTGGGTTATGTTTTGGATAGGGATGGTTTGAGGCCTGATTCCGAGAAGGTGGCACCGGTGTTAGAATACCCTGCACCCCAGGATATTAAACAGCTTCGGCGTTTCTTGGGAATGGTTGGGTGGTATTCTCGTTTCATAGAGAATGATAGCGAGATTAAGGTACCACTTTTGAGGCTTCTTTAAAAAGGAAGAGCTTGGGAATGGACAGCTGAGCATGAGGAGGCTTTCCAAACTTTAAAGAAAAAGTTGGTATCGGCCCCAGTTTTGGCTCGGCCGGATTTTAGCAAACCGTTCACTGTCCAATGTGACGCTAGCGACTCAGCGATTGGCGCGGTGTTGACTCAGGAGTCTGAGGATGGCGAACACCCAATTGTGTACGCAAGTAAGGCTTTGATAGGGGCAGAAAAGAATTATAGTGTCACTGAGCGTGAGTGTTTGGCATTATTATGGGCCATTAAAAAATTCAGGCCATATCTAGAGGGATATCGGTTTAAGGCTATCACGGATCATAGTGCACTGAGGTGGCTCAGGAATCTTAAGGATCCGTCTGGTCGTTTGGCTCGTTGGGCACTCGAGATGCAACAATGGGATTTCGACATTGTTCATCGTCGCGGTGTTAATCATCACGTACCGGACGCATTGTCGCGTATGTACGAGGATAACACGGACGAGATGTCGGCTTTCAGCACCATTGATGACCCGTGGTACATCAAGAGGAAACAATTGGTTGAGGAGTTTCCTCAACGTTTTCCAGGTTGGTTGGTGGAAAACAATTTGTTATATCGTCATAGGAACGATCCTTTATTGTTACCAATCACGGGCGAGGAACAGGGTTGGAAGTTGGTTGTCCCAGAGGAGCATCGGAGTAGAATACTCAGGAATGCTCATTCTAAAATTGCAGCAGGTCATTTGGGAATAGAGAAGACATATGCTAGGGTGGCTGCAGAATATTACTGGCCAGGCATTTGGCATGATGTCCAAAGGTTTGTTCGCGAGTGTCCTGATTGTCAAAGGTTTAAGGTTTCGCAGGAAGGACCTCAAGGGTTAATGGGTCAAAGGATTGTGGAACAACCGTGGACGGTGGTTGCAGCGGACTGTATGGAGTTTCCATCCAGCAAGAATCAGTGTAAGCATTTGGTTGTTTTCCAGGATTTGTTTACACGCTTGATTGAGGTTAAACCGATCAGGTCTGCTGATGGCAAATCCATTGCGAAGGCATTTGAGGAATTGGTCGTGTTCATGTGGGACACTCCTCACTTTCTGTTAACGGATAACGGAAAGGAGTTCGACAATCAACACCTCAAATCCGTTTTGGAGGACTATGGTGTCAGGCATTTAACAACGCCGCCATACCACCCCCAGGCTAACCCAGTCGAACGTAGTAACCGTACTTTAAAAACGATGATTGCGACTTTTGTAGGCGAGGATCATCGGAATTGGGACAAACATGTCCATGAGTTCCGACATGCGATCAATACGGCTGTGCAGTCTTCGACAAAGGTTTCACCGGCCTTTTTGAATTATGGTCGTCAGCCTCAACCGGTTAAGAGTTTGAGGAGAGAAGTTGAAGGTAAGGTTACGGTTCAGAGGATTGATCCAGAGGTTTGGTGCGATAGGTTGCGTAGGTTGGACGCGCTGAGGGATCTGGTTGCGAGGTTTATTGACGAGAAACGTGAAAAACAGAGTCGTTATTATAACCGTAATAAACGAGAGGCTACTTTTCATGTGGGGGATCAGGTTTTATGGAGAACTCATAAATTGTCGAATGCGGCAAATAGGTTTTCGGCAAAGTGGGCTCCTAAATTTGAAGGTCCCTACGAAATTGTTAGGCAATTGTCTCCTTCGGTTTACGAATTGGGTTCGGGTAATAACCGCCGTGTGGCTAAGGTTCATGTGTCCGATCTCAAACGTTTTATACCTCCACGTTCTCGGCAATGATTTTGAATGTGTTACTTATTTGTTTTATGTTTTAGATTGTTCGAGTCATTTCCGGCACAGTGTATTATGGGTGACATTTGGCGAAGCAAGCTTTCGTCGAGTTCGGGTCATGCATCAGGTGGTGCAATTGGACGTAGTGCCCCGGAAGGTTCAGCGGTTTCTGGAGTGATCGAGGATCGCAGGGTGACCAGCTCCTCAGATTCGGATGTCTCGTTGCCTCCGGCGGGTACTCGCTCTGAGGGCCGAGGCATTTCTGTTGATTGGCGTGATGAGTCGAGGGCTCATTTGGCTCGTCCGGGGTCTCGAGGAAACCAAGGAGCTTGTATGTTGGAGAGTACAGAATGCTTGGAGAGCCGGTATGCGGTTGAGGAATTGGAGGCGGTCATGATGGACCAAGAGGAAGACCCAGTTCCGGTTGCTGACGAGGAATTTCATGAGGCTCGTGGTCGTGAGGAGCCATTGGCTCAGGTCCGATCACGTGAGCCGAATGTTGTGTGGTTCCTCGTCCGGCGGATCGTTTCAGAGAAGAGGCCAAGAGGAAGCATCCTATTTTGACCGTGGGACGAATTTTTCGGGGGCTGGATCGAATTCCGACGGATCCGGAATTGGACCCCCCCATGGGGGCCTGTTTTAATTGCTGGGAGACGGACCATAAGTTGGCTTATTGTCCGAAGCCATTGGATCAATTTTGCCGGAATTGCGGACGTTATGGGGTTCACATTGAGGATTGCCCTCGCTGTGGACGTATTTGGCGTTTGCGGGCCAAGCGTTCGGCATCTATGATGTCGGTAGCGGGATCAGACCGATCGTGTTTCGGCGTAGGGGATTCTGGAACTCAATCTGGACGCAATGGAGGTGAATCCAGCAGGAGGATGCGCTCTGTGGTTGTTCCGGTCAGAATGGATCAACCTGAGCAGCGCGAAATTGAGGAAGTGGGCGAAGCAGTGCCAGATGTTGTTTTGGTTGCTGAGCCAGAGCCTGTTATTCTGGTTTCGGATCCAGTACCTTCGGCTACTGGACTAATGGCTGATTTACGGTTGCTGGAGGCTTCCTTGGTGGGCCTTCCGCAAGAATTGGTGATTGCAGCACGTACGGCTTTCTGGCAGGATCGCCAGCGTCAGGGTTTCCCTTAGGATGGGGCCCATTGTATTTGAAAAGAGATTATTTTTGGTTTTTATTATTATTTTGGTTTTCCATTATTCTTTAATTTAATTTGATTAGTTTTCTTAAGTTAAGTGTTGACTAATTTTTGAAGAAATATTTTATTTTCATTTAATTATCCTTATTATTTTTTGTAATTTAAAATTAGTTAATTATTGGTTAATGGAAG